GTGCCGCGGAAAGCAGCTGAGTTTGAAAAAGCAGGAAATAAAGGTCAGGTAGCCCGGGCGGGTGGGTGGGCCATACAGCAAATGACACAGAACTGGTTCTGTGTCTGCTGCTCTTCAGAACTACCAGTTCTACAGAGCCGGGCAGAACTGGTAGCATCCCACCCCTGGTTTGAAGGCCCATGCTACCCAAATAGAGAAAAGGTGAGGTGATCTTTGCAGTTTTCTTTACTCCTTGGTACTGTATCCATTTTCCATTCTTTTAGTTTCTTTTCTGGTTATCATACATGTTTATTTAATGTAGAAACTCAAAGCAATATAAAATAACTTCAAATTAAAAAGAATAAAAACATAAAACATAGCGGACTTAAAATGAAATCAAAATGGTAACTGATCTGGAATCAAATGCAATCACCAAATTAATAATTCCAGACAATTAGCTTCTTTCCCCCAGTTTTTACAGATAAAAATTCACTGAGATCTCTGGTAATTTCTTTGGACAAATCTGCAAAAAAGGAAAATAACCTTTGATTAAGATATTAGGTCAGAGAGGCAGGCTTGGTACATAGGATAACACAATAAAATATAAGAATCTCGTTTAATTTTTCTGAAGTGTTCGTAGAAACCTCTATTATTAGATCTCCCTTTCAGTACCACAGAGGGCAACACATTAAATATAGTCAATGAAAATATTAGTAAGATAATTGGCTAGCATCAAAGATCTACATTATATTGATCACTACTGGAGTAGATTTTCTATAAAATTTATTTTTGAAAAAAATATTTTTCCAAATTTTTTAAAATTATGTTTTCTACCTAACCAAGTTGTATTCCAAAAAATGCTTGTATCTCTGAAGTTGCTTCATTGAATCCTTTGAGCTAGAACTGGGCTTAAAGACCACCCACAGTAACTTTAATTCCCTTCTTACAGGAAGAACCAAACTATCAACAATTAAAAAGGGAAACTATCTTCTGAATAATTTTCAGCCAGTATTTTAGCTGGCATATTCTCATGCAGACCAGATTCCAGACATAAACATGTTTTAGGCACCAAAGAAGAACTATAAAACACTGTTCTTATATTTCTAGTTTGTCTTGCTTCTTAAGCTTTTAAATCCACAGTGCTGTATGTGATACAGTGAAAGGTTCAGCGTTTTTGCCTTAAGTAATTTAACTCTATCACGACAAAATTACTGCCTTTTCAGCTAACAAATTAGATTACAGAAGTCTTTGTAGGCTCCACGCAGTGGATGATTGGAAGACTCTGATTTATTTGAAGTCTGGGTGACAAAGAAAAAGAACAGAGCTGGGGGCTCCTCAGTTGACCAAGGACATGCATGCATACGCACACACACACACACACTCCCAATTGAAGTCTGAAGACATCTTGCTATTTTCTCTTTAAGGACTTGTCTTTAAAACTCAGCTTTGCTTTATCTCAGGTTGCCTAATGTCAAATATATTGATATAATGCTAAAGTGATCTGTGTTGTTCAAATCATTATAGTGCTTTTCTGTTTGTGATATAGGCAGAGGCTTTATTCTGGGTGAAACTGTTACACAGTTAGCAAAAAGGAGAGGAGTAACTATTACTTACAGATACTTGTACTGTTCAGCTGTCCAAAAGGATAGTTTCATGTGGGATATTTAGAATTAACTCTGCATCTGCTGTTTCAGTGTCTGGAAGCTGTGTTCACTTATTTCTCTGTGATGTATTTGAAAAACTTCTCCCCCCATCAGTTCTGCAAAATCTGAAGGGCATTCATTTATCCTTTGGCAGGAATTCTTGACTAACCTTTCATTCTACCTTGTGAAATCAAGCCACAATTACAGTACTCTATCTCTCTCAACCTATAGATTGAATATTCTATGTAATTAGTCTGGTTGGAGCAAGTGTTTTCAATCACTGAGATTTGTAGCAGGGACAATAATTTCAGGTGAGCCTTAAACTGATTTTTGAAGGATTAGACACAATATGCAGTGGACATGCTCTTAGCTGAGAAGTACTCAGAAGCTGCAAGCGAATGCTGCATGCTTTTTAAAAAATGTTTATTATAAAATACAAATGCAAATAAAAAAATGAAAAAATTAAGAAAGGTGGAGAAAGAAGGAAGAACTTCCTTTTACCTTTCCTAATTCTGTTTTAAAAGTGTAGTACTTTGCAATGTTCTATAATTGAGTTATGCAGCATGTGAACAACTATTTCCTTTTGTATGTCTAAATCAAGAGTGTTAAACTCGCGGCCCACGGGCCGGATGCATCATGTACTGGTCCTGCCCCCACCCAGTTTAACGAAGGGAAAAAAAATCCTGATACATCGTGTGATGCTGCCGTGACGACACGTGTTTGACATCCCTGTCCTAAATCATCTAGCAATCAATTTATTTTTACATAAGTTGTATGAGATACTTCTTTACTGCATGGCAATCCCATTTATATTATTTTTCCTCTAAAGAATATATAATTTTATCTACTGGTAGTATTTGCTTAATAATTGCCCTGTTTAGTGACTGTTTGAAGTTATGACAATGCTGAAAAAGTAATTTTACAACTGGTGGAGTTCCAGATAAAAGTTAACAGGCTACCCCAACATGATAGAATTTGAAGAAACAGAGGTGCATCAGAACTTAGTTATTTGGTAAATCTAGCTTTTTCTAAACTGAGAATCAGAATCTTTAAAGGTAGATATAACATTCTTCCATCTGTAGTTCAAGACAGTATAGTAAAATCCCTGAGTGTATTTGCCAATGTGGTGATGGGGAAACTGAAATCATCTCACATATGTAGAAAATTAGCACCTACCCTTCTCCTAGAAGAATGAAAATATTCTAGGAAATATTAAAAAGGCAGAATATTATACTTTCCTGGATGAGAAAAGGAGAAAGATGCTCTTTGAAAGCAGCCCCCAGAAAGACTGAGCCATCCTATCTACAAGACAAAAGATGTTTAGCTCCAGGGTGATAGAATTAGCCCTCACTCAGATCCAAACAAGGACAAAGCCATTAAGCCACAATAGGAATTGCCCAAAGCCCCTTCATTACATCACCCAGCAAGATTCAACCAAGCCTGGGACTCAAGACTACCTACAAAGTTACTCCTGCATGGCCCCATGGGAATCTGACAACCAATCAGGATACATTTCTTGCACAGGAACAGGAAGCAAGTTCAAAGCCCAACAGAAGGTATAAATCTCTCTCCCTCTCATCCATGTGCTCTTTTTTTGCTCAGGATCTCAAATCGTGTGGTCCTGTTCCACCGTTAAAATCATCCTTCCAAGCAGTCTCCGTGTTTCTAGTATCTTTCTTCCCACTTGAAACTGAACCCACATGGGCATTTTTCCAATGCTTATATTATTATGTCGTAAATTTTAGAGTCAATATACACTGTTTCTCTAATATATAAATTCTTCATGGGGCCAGATAAATTTTACATGAATCTTCTTAGGGATATGAAACTGTTCATTATGTGTATAGTAGCTACATACATAAGTGCTGCAATGAAAGTAAGATATAATTGGTTAAATACAGATTTACTTTAGTTTTAAATATTATTTTTGGTTTGATAGATCTCAACTAATATATTTTTAGGAGATATATACTTTTTATTTTATATGTGTAATGTTTTAGGTTTATTTTCTAGATAACTATAGTAACAGTAATAGAGGAGTGAATGTGTGATTTATTTTTCTAGTTGTTAGTATATTGTTGTAGTTATTTGCTTCATTCTAGTTTTGTTCTTTCAAATTTTGCTGGCATTGACTGAATAAAAATTAATAATTTATTGACATTCCTCATATATATAATTGTCACAGAGATCTGCAGTCATGATTGACATTTGGGAGATTCATAAGCAGCTGTCATTTATAACCATAACAGTGTCCTATAGTCATATGATTGACATTTGAGTGCTTCACAGCTGGCTTCTGACAAGCAGTTGGAAGTAGAGTAACTGACATTAAAACTGCAAGTCACGGTTATGTGATGTCTCACTTAATGACATGTGTAGTTTATTTAATGACCACAGCAGAGATAGTCTAAGTCTAGCTTGGTCACATGATGTTTTGCTAAATAACCACACCAGTCAGCAATAGGAGTTGCAGGTCCAACTGTGGTCATTAAGACACAACTACTTGTATTGTATAGCATTTGAATATTGTGTACTATGGAACCATATGCAAATGAGGTAACCAATGTATAAGTTTCAAGATCACTTATAGTTTTACTTATTTACTTAGATTTTCCACTTCAGAAATATCTAGTACAGCTTTTCAAAGCATCTCTTGAAACCATTAAAAGAGCCATCTTCTTTAGGTTTGCGAGGCTGCTTCAGTAGTATTTTCAGGTGTCTCTACAAGTATATGTACTTACCATTTTACCGCACAGCACTATACAATAAAATGGGAACAGTTTCCAAGAATAGTTGTATGTATGGCTATTTTCATGTGTCCTTTTGGGGGCAGGGGTGGCAGTATTTTTACAATTTTGCATGGTGCATGGTATGGTTTTTTGTGTTTCACGGCCTTAAATCTGTGAGCCGCTTCAATCACTTGGAAACTGTAAATGCACAGAAATATGTGCTACCTTGAATAGGCTGGAATGGAAATTCCACTATTACAGTTGGGCAATGATTCTCATTTATACAGCAGGAGTCCAATCTGAGGACAGGTAAAGACAAGTTCAGTCTTGGGCCTGATAGAGGTAAAATATGAAGAAAGCAGGACACAAGAAAGGGAGAAGGGAGAAACGGGGGGAAATTCCAGATGACCCTAATTCCTCATTTTCCCGTTCCGAGCAGAAACTTGGGGCAGATACTTATCCCCAGCCTCAGTGACACAGTATAACCAACACATAGCACGGGTTCCCAACGTCTTCTTCCAACCTTGGCTTGTCTAATCAAAAAATGACCGAGTCTCCAAAAATTTCTTGGTACGGGGAAGTGGCACCTCCTCCTTCCATTGGCTCCGCTGTCCCCAGCGTCGCCATAAATGCCCCCAGAGTCCTCCGGCCTCCTCAGCAGAGATACGTTTCGGGCGGGCGGGCGAGCGGCGGTGCCATTTGCTCCGGGTTCCTGAGAGACGCGCTCTTCGGCCAGGCTCGTGAGTGGCGCTGCTGTCTTTCCCCTCCAGTCTGGCTGTTTCCGAGGGAGATTCGGATATCGCCGACCGAACCTGCATCTGCTGAATGGTCCCAGGGTGGTCATGAACCAGGCCCCGGACCCCAGTGGCCCCGAGCAACCTGAGAGAGATGCCCGAAGCTCGGCTCATTTCCCGCCCACTGCCGGCAGCGGTCCCGTCAGGGGGATACCTCAGACGCCCGGCCTGCCTCAACTCGTGCAAAAGTAAGGGGTGCCCGCGCGTGGAACTGGGAGGGGGGAGGGGAGGAAAGGAGCGAGTGAGGCTAACGGTCGCCTGACCTTTCTTGCCGCTGCGCCGCCCCGCTTCCCGGACAGAGGCAATAAGAGCTTCGGAGCTTGGGCGGGCTGCCCCTTTGACTCCCCCCACGGTGTGCCTTCCCGCGGCCACGTGTTAAACGGGGTTCCCAAAGCCAGAAATGTGGTCTCCTGTCACTGTCCAAAAAGTCGTTCGAGGGGGCAAATGGAACTTTACCCATTTCCGTAGGATCACATTGCATATTGTTTCTCTTTTCATTTGCTGACTTGTCAAGAAAAAAAATAATCAAGGAAATCATACAAGTGCAGACTTTACGACCTTCTAGTACTTAGATGCTAAGCCCTTGGTTTGCTCATTTAAGCGTTTATTTTTACTGGTCCCGTTTTTGGCCCGGGGTCCTCAAGTGTAGCGGTTCATATTGTGCAACGTAACGGAAGTGTAATCATCGTATAAGAAAATGCACTTGATTAAAGGCTTTATAGCGGTTATAGCGCTAATAAGGATATCTATCTACGGAAGACGAAGCGTTTAGATTTTCCTGTCTGTAATATAGGAAAAGATAGACGTGCCTGTGTATATGTATTTAAAATATTTGTAAAATATATCGTTGAATTTCTGATGAAACAATTTTGTCATCTGGTTATAGCGTTAGAATAAAACAAATCAGATTACTGTTTGGTCAGTAATTCTAATATTAAATTATTTTACCAGTTACCTGCATCTCTACACTCTCCTCAGTTTGCTTTTATCTAGAAAAAAAATCACATCATGTTAGTCTCTATTGTAGGAAAAAGCTTAATTTTCATATTGTTAATGAGAAATAGTACTAAGAAAATGTACGTGTATATGAATTTATTGAAAAAAGAAAATCATTATGCCTTAAGTGTCAGTGTTGGTAGAAGTTGAACCTTGAAGTGAACCTGAAATGTTGAAGTTGTTTGCAATAGGAAAATATTGTTTTTAAAAAAGCAGGGGGACACTTTCCATTCCATAGTGAGAATGAAAAAGAATAAGTATACTTTCATATTCTTTAATATTCAGAGGAGTTTAGAGCAGCAGATGCTAATTTCTACTTTGTAATGTAGGCAAGAATTTGATTTGTTTTTGTTTAAATATAAAAGAGTGAAAATTAATAAGAATGACTAAGTGATTAATGATTAATAAGAATGACAAAGTGAATATTTTCTTTATGTAATCTTTATGAAATCTGTATCCATGGTAATAAATTCAATTGGAAAGTACTGTTAGATTCCTGGAGAAGGCTGAATTTGGCCCTCAAGATAAAGAATAGATTTTTTTAATCAGTTTTTGTTTTGGTCATACAATGAAAAACACTTGATGAAGTTAGATATCATTGTTTTGAGTTAGTTCTACGTGTACTGAAAAGTTGCTTGTTTTTTCAAAACCAATTTTGAATCACTTTCTCCTTAATAAATAAACCCTGTATCATCTAAATCAAAGATAAATTATAAAGTTTAAAATAGTGTATTTATGAGAAATTTCTGCTGGTGAAATATACACATTAAAAATGATTGGCAGCCTTCAAAAATTGAAGAAAAGAGCGTAATGTATGCAGCTATCCTCTATCATAGTGGCGTGGTGTAAAATAGCAAATGTCAGAACTTCTGTCTGGGTGGGGGAATATGATCACTGTATTTGTAACTGTACTGCAATACCTAACTTCACTAAACAGAAAACCACTAGTTGTACGTTGTATTTTTGATCATGATTTGGATGTTTTAGTAAAACAAAACAAAAGGGTGGTTGAAATATAGATTTTTAAGTTTTACATGAAAATTTAATTATGAAGAATGTATTTTTAAATTATTACGAAGTCCATGTTGTTTTCCTACTTTTGTGACTACATTGACAGAAATTCTCTCTCTCTCTCTCTCTCTCTCTCTCTCTCTCTCTCTCTCTCTCTATGCGCGCGCGCACACACACAGACACACACACACACGTTATTAATCTGCAAATTTCCTGTCTGAAAAAACAACAACAAAAAAGGATAATTTTCTAAAAGAAGTAAAAGACTTAAGACTTAGATTTCCCATAATTATATGTTTTTCATGTTTTCTTTTATTGGTTTTTTAAAAGAAAATACTCAATTTGAGTTTATCATGGGTGAAAGGAACCAATTAAATTCTGTTCACTAACAGGAATGACTTTTCCAATTTTATTACAGAATATAAAATGATATAATAACTTAATAGATATTTGCTGTAGCTCATTTATCGTATAACATAATTTGGAAGACTTGTCAGAAATTATAACAGTGGCCACACAAATATAATGCTCAGCAATTCCCTTGAACATGAGAAGATGGCATATTAAATAAATAAATAACTGTCTAGAACTAGAACTACCTTCCTTTTAAAACTTATACAAGACTATGTAGATATTCAGTCTTATTCAGACTATGAAGATATAGCAACTAATCTATATTTTATTGTTCATTCCAGGTGATGTTCAGTTTGAATTAACTTTGCAGAATGTAACATTTTGGTGGTTGTAAAATTAAGGAACTATAATCAAATACATTAGTATTTTCTATAATATTAACGGTACATATGAGTCTTAAAAACTAGAAATTTAATACTTCTGTTCCCATAAGCAGACACACTTGAAAATCATCGCGAATGTATTTATTGATATTCTGAAAATGTAAGATTAGTACATTGATATGAGTAAATTTATTAATACTATCAGTGAAGCTTTACTTTAAAGAGGAACTAGTTAGAGAAGCATCCTGCACTTCTGCTTTGATTGAAAAATTGGTTTAATTTTAACTGATAACATTAAGAAATGGTAAGAGTTTTAAGAGTGAAATGTACAAAAATGTATTTTATTAATTTTTAAAGAGTTTGTAAGTGAACAATTTGATACTAATATTTTTCTTTTGATGGCTTTTGTCACAAGTTGCTAGAAAGATGTAATGCACCAGTTTTATATAAATTATGTATCACTTGCAATCTGTTGATTTGTATCTTAATTAAGACACAGTACTTTTGCCTTCTTGCATGTGGAAATACTTTAATTGTTTTGGTAATTTGTTCATAGATACTAATAGAAGAAGCATCTCATAACTATTAATCGTAATAGTTGATTAAATAAATCTATACTGCTTTCTATAAGTGCATAATAGTATGATTGTCAAGTTGCAATAATGAAAAAAAGTTATTAAATATGCATCATGACTTGATACAACCATGAACTTTTACTCTTGTGTCCAGATGTCAGACACAACTACATAACTTATGTGGTTTCTGTCACAACCTTGTAACATGTATTATTTGCTCTTTGCTCTCCTGTGGATTCCATTTTTGTCCTCCTTGGCTAAAGTACATAAATGGGTTAGGTTTGTGGGCTATATTTAAATTATCTGAGGGCTGCATAAGGGAAACCTAGAAGTCTAGTTTGCCATGCCCTTGTTTAAATACTCATTAGGAATACATGGTTATTTTGATCTGACCACATTTAGAGTAAAACTGAAATTTCGTCATGGTTTCAAAAGAGATTATTTTCTGTGAAACTGTATAGTGACAATTTGAGTGCAAATTATTTAAAATTCAAGATGGATTGTCAGAAAAAAAATAAGGTTCATGTTTTCCCTGTCACCATTGGATCTGTTCAGAGTTGAAGTAGTGAGGAATTCATTAAATCCTGATCTGACATATAGGGGTAGTCTGTCAGTATTTTGCTATGGTTGTTCTGCTTAATGTTTCTTGAGAGAGAGAGAAGGTAAATTGCTCACATCTACTCTGACTAGAATATATTTCTTTTATTAGAAATGTTGGTCTTGTTACACTGATCAGTTTAAGTTCTTGGTTTCTGAGGATGCGCCCCCAAGTCTTTGCAAGAATATTTTTGCAAAAAATATTTTATGTTACTGTAATTATTCTTGACTTGGCAAGAAAAGTCATAAGAACATCTATTTTATTTTAGTGAGGGCTAGTATCAGTACATTTTGACTGAAATGATATCTGTAATGTTGAAAGTGTCAATTAGCTTTTCTTATTAAAATAATTGTTATCCAAAAGTTTCTGGTAAAATTTCAGATAAGCTAATTTAGTACTATAGTTTAAAGGATTATGTGTTCTTTAGAATATACGTTTGGCTTTCTTGGTTTCCAACAACTGTCTACTGGTGAATGAAAGAGCTTTTTAGTAATAAGTACTTACTAGGAAGTTCTCAAAGAGAAGCTTGTCTGATATCTAATAATGACATTTCAGTAGACAATGTAGGATTTTCCTCCTCTTCAAGCTTTCAAGTCTGTTCAAAATTTTAATTTGTATTTAGCTTTGTAACTTATAATGGTATTTTCTTTTGATACATATTTAGTGTGAATATTTTTGGAGGCTATCTAAATACGTGACAATGGATAAATAAAATGGCTCCCCTCAACACACAGTGGAAAGCCAAATGCGCTGCTGAATGCTCAGATACAAGCAATTACATGGATGACCCTACAGAAAAGGTACCAGGTTTGACCTTCCTCACCAGCATTGGTCAACTCTGAACAGGATCTGTATGCAACATGGTGTCCACCAGGACTCATTATTTAAGTGGGGTCTTCTCTACCCTTAGTGTGACTGTGATGATCCTCGGCAAAATATCCATCATGTCCATCAAGAGCTTTAACATTTGAACTACTATAAGTCCATGTATTTGTCATATGCTAATAAATAAATACATTTTGGAGGATAGGATATAAAATAGCTGCTTTCCTCTTCTTCTATATTTTCTTTCACCATTATCTAGTCCTAAATTATCAAAATTAGTATCTAAACTAGAGGTGTCTTGTCAGAAAAACATGGAATACCTGTGACTCTAGAACTATATGAAATGATATTGGTTGATGGTCTTTTTGTGGGTTGGGGATGGGGGCAGCCTGAAGCCATGTGTCCATATTAGTTTTATTAGACTTCCTAGCAGTATTTAACACAAT